TCTGTAATCTGTCTAGAATTTTTTTCTACATCTTGTCGCGCTAGGCCGAATCTTGTTATTCATTTTCAATGCTTGCTGCTTCCTTTGGATTGTAGTGGTAGTCAAAATAAGGTGTGTTCGATTAATTACTGAAGTGGGGAGATTCGACGAGTTTTTGAATACATCAGTGCTTTCGTTTGTGAGCTGTTCTCCAAATCAAGTGTGAATCGGTTTACAAAGCTGCAAGGTGCATAACTGTACAATGACGGGGTTTCTTGAAGAAAGGCTGAAAATATACCTTAATAAGGGCTGAATCAGTATTCTAACAGTTTTAGCCTCAGAGAAGATAAATCTTCTCCACTATGTTATTGAGAAATTCTTTCAGGCAGGTGATTACAGTGAAGCTCTTACTTTGTTGGTAGTTTTCATTTCTGCAAAATTTGGACTTCGAATTTGTTATTCGTTTTCGAATCATGCAGCACTTGCTTCACTTGGCTGTTTCACTTAACCGTTCACTTGGCGATGCACAAGGGAGGTACATGACATAGTAAATAGCATAACCTTAGACATTCGTTTATCCGAGTTGCATCCGTGCTCAGTGTCAATATGAAATATCGTTTCTAATGGTCAAACACCATAAATCTGTTGTTTAGGATTGGTTAGCTTAAGGTGTCGATGCTTTAGGCAAACGATAGCAGTAACAGTGTTTTCTTTGTTTCAGGTGAGAACCGCCAGTGGTATTGCCGTGGTTGCCGTCATGTGCAAGCCACACAGGTGTCCCCACATATTCGTCACCGGAAACATTTGTGTTTACTGTCCAGGTGGTCCTGACTCCGATTTCGAATACTCGACGCAAAGCTACACGGGCTATGAACCGACGTCGATGCGTGCCATCCGTGCGCGCTACGATCCTTACCTACAGGCACGCAGTCGCATCACGCAGTTGCGACAGCTCGGTCACCAGGTGGATAAAGTTGAATTCATAGTCATGGGAGGAACTTTCATGTCGCTACCTCAGGATTACAGGTGAGACATTTTTTGTTACATAATTTTTGTTACATAAATTAGGAAACGGTTTTTCCAACGCTGTTTCTTAACCTCGTTTCTACAGATAGGTTTCCAATGCGCTCTGCAGTTGTCATCCTGTGGAAGGCGCCTGTTAGAGCGTTTAGAGGAACGAGCCTTTTGAAAAGTTGATGGATTTCCCAGCATTCTACTTAACTATTTTCATATTCAGTTCCCGGTCTCTTGCGTCGCTTTTAGACAAGATACTGCAGCCGGTTCAGTATCCCGGGACTCCATCGTTTACTTTGCGCACTCTTTAGACATTCTCAAGAAAGACAATGCAGTTCACACGTTTCCATTACTTCTTTGAATTCATTCGAAGGCGCACGTGGGTTGATTCTCTTAAAATAGTCACGAAGAGTATAAATATGTACCGTACATTTGATTTGCTT